CTAGTAAGTTATATTCTTAGATCTATCTCAAGCTTTTGACACCATTAACCATAATATTCTTCTTGACAAGAGAGTACCGAAGTGAATACGTCACGCACACAATTAGTGTGTAAAAGGCATTTGCGCGAGAACCAGCGCGTGAACCAACACGCGTGCGTACTCCATTCGTTTGCACTGCACTTTCTGATTCACAGTGACGTCACACTTCGGTACTCTAGATAAATTACTACGGCATACGTGGGGTTGCCCAGAGTTGGTTTGAAAGTTATATATCTAAAAAAAATCGCCAACAGTGTGTAAACTTAAATAATTGTTTGTCTGATCTTAAACCCATAAGTTGTGGGGTACCTCAAGGTTCCTTTCTGGGACCTTTACTCTTTCTGATTTAAAACGACATTTCCAAAACATCGAAAGTGCTATCTTTCATTTTATACGCAGATGACACGAGTATGTTTTACTGTAATAAGAATCTAGCCTCTCTGCATAAAACAGTAAACAGTGAATTGGCAAATACAGGTGACTTGTCGAAAGCCAACCGTTTATCTCTTAATTTGTCTAAATGTAAGTATATACTTTTTAGTAACAGGAAACGGTATAGTGATTCATCAAATCTTAATGTTGTAATAGATAAAATATTTATTTAAAAAGTTAACAAGTTCAAATTGTTGGGTGTCTTTATTGGTAACAAATTGACCTGGAAATCCCGCATCGATGAAATTGCGAGTAAAGTTTCCAGAAGTATTGGAGTGGTCAGTAGACTCAAACACATTGTTTCTTTTGATGTCCTAAAACACTCTATAGTGCTTATTGTCACACTGTCCGGGAAATACCTTTATTACTAATTTAGACAAATTAATTGTTTTAACAAAAAAAAGAAGGCTGTTCGTATCATAACTATCGTCTTTCAGGGATCATAGTCGACCGATTTCACCAAACTTAAAGTACCTGAGTATTATTTAACCTTAATAAATATCAACAAGCTCTATTTATGCATAAATGTTTAAATAATCTATTACCGCGCTCTTATAGCCATATGTTTACGCTGAATCGTAACATACATAATTACAACACTAGAGTATCCGGATCTCCATATACCGCAACACAGGCCATCTGCTTTCCAAATTAACATTAAATTCTCTGGTCCTGAAATATGGAATTCCTTACCTCTGTCTCTCACAAGAATAAGCGCATTTGATAGTTTGAAACGCAAAGGAAAGTAATTATCAAACTTTCTGATATATCTTGTATATTACCATTGCCCTAACTTCACGTCATGTTTTTACTTTCGCAACAAGTACATGCTTTCTACTTTAACTCAAGTTTCCTAATGGGTATTCAATTTTGTTCTTGTCTTGGTTGTTTCGTTTTGTAGCATGAACCACGTGGTTTATTATTGTGTGTAGTATTGTAGAATGGCAGGCCTTACACAAGCTTTTGTTTTTTAGGTCTTGCCTCCTCTTCTAAACTCAATATTCTAATCTTTATATTTGTATACCTGCTGTAATCTTTATGACGAGAAGAGGAAATAATAAATAAATAAATAAAAATAGCTTATGACCGAGCTTAAGAATTGTTATGAACTTGCTGTGACTTATGACGTACTCGACCACAGCCCCTATAATGCATGTCCTCTTTGAAGTATCTCTGCTCAAAATCATGCATGTTCTTATGCACATAAGGGTTTGGGTGTAAATCAGCAGCAATCACAGATAACAGTAAACAGTTACCGGTAATGACGGGCTTTCATTCGCGAATACCCGCGCTTTCTCCAATTACAGGTCTAGCTCCAAAAGCTATTGTTGCATGATAATTTAGCAATTCAGCACAAAAAAACCGGGTAGTCGCTGCGCGTATTTCCCACAGCAAGAGAAATCCTTTGGCTTCGTCTTTCCAATGAAGAGAGCCAAGTCTATTCGTGTAATCAGAGGTCTTTCTCCTCCTCCAGCGTGTGTTGCAACCGGAGACAAAGCAAAAGGGGCCAAGGTCAGATGCGCCAATCACTACCAGCAACTATGTCAAGAGTGCCCCGTTATTTTCGACTTTGTCTCTTTGGACAGTGCAGGAATCGCG